GACGAACCGGTTGTCCTGAAACACCTCCATACCATCCTCGTCAAGGTGTGGAACGGAGGAGATATCCCCCAAGAGTGGAAGGACGCAACCATCAATGTGCTGTACAAGAAGGGTGACCGGTCCAACTGTAACAACTACAGGGGGATTTCGCTACTATCTCACGTAGGCAAGGTTCCCATCAAGATCATCACCAACCGTCTAAGCGCCTTCTGCGAAGCCAACAACATCCTCCCGGAGGAACAGTGCGGATTTCGACCCGGGCGATCCACCGTCGACATGCTGTTTGTCGTGCGTCGCCTCCAGCAGCTGGGGCGGAGAAAGAGAATACCGCTCTACATGTGCTTCGTCGACTTGAAGAAGGCGTATGATTCGGTGGACCGAGAGATGCTATGGAAGGTGCTGGCCAGGGCCGGGATTCCCGCGAAGCTAATCAAAGTCATCCGCCAATTCCACGATGGAATGCGGGCCCGGGTGCGCATGGACGACGGAGAACTATCGGACTGGTTCTTCGTCACACAGGGTGTGCGACAAGGATGTGTGCTATCCCCACTGCTGTTCAACATCTTCTTCGCCGAGGTCCTCGAGGTCGTCGTTATCCGATTCAGCGAGGATGATGTTGTTCTGCGGATTTTGGTGTGCTTGGAGGAGGGGAAGACGGAAGCGGGGGGGGGGGAGGAGACACCCCTTGACCGAGTACGGAGGGCAGTATGGGGGATGCTGTATGCCGATGATGCCGGCGTCGTATCAAGGTCTGCAGAAGGACTGGCGAGAATGATGACCATCATCGTTGAGGTGTTCGGAGAGTTCGGGCTAACGGTGTCGGAGAAGAAGACGGAGACGCTCCTGATGCGCGCTAAGGACAAGCCGACTGCAACATCACAGCCCCCCCCGCCTCCTCCACCACTGACTATCGAAGCCGCGGGACAGAAATACGCCCAGACGACCGAGTTCACCGAGTTCCGGTACCTCGGTGGCCTCGTCAACGAACATGGCGACCTCACCCGGGAGATCAGCTACAGGAGCAGAGGAGCGTGGGCGTGCCTCAGGCGATATGGCCAGGAGCTCTTCGACAGACCGAAAGCGCCATTCCGACTCAAGATCCGCCTCCTCCAGGCGGAGGCGATGGAGGCACTGCTGTACGGCTGCATGACATGGTCACCACTCAGCGGCCACTATCAGACGCTGCGGTCGACACACCACCGACTGCTCCTTCGAGTTATCGGGTACAAGCGCAAGCAAGACACCTACCGGCAGCTCTCGTACGCCCAGACGCTGAAGAGGGTCGAATGCCAGAGCGTTGAAGCCACGATCCGACAACGACGCCTACTGTTCGCGGGAGCACTGGCAAGGCAGCCGGACGGGCGACTCCCGAAACGACTGATGCTCGGCGAGCTGGCGGGGGGGGAGAAGCCACGTAGGGGGGGACAGGAACAGAACTGGCCGAAGTGTGTGCTCGACGACCTGAAGGCATTCGGGGCCGACCACGGATCTACGAAAACCGACCCAAGTTGTCTCGGAATTCCCGTACCGAAAGACACGGCACCGAAGTTTAGGTGGACGGAAGCCGCGAAGGTGGAGGGGGGAGTACCCTGGCATGCGGCGGTGCTGCAGGGAGCTGAGAGGTTCATGACCTCCTGGCACGAGAAGGAAGAAGAGGACAGCCGACAACGAGCGCTCAAACGAAACCACAAGCCAACAACCAATGGGGCGGGAGGGGGGCAGGAGACGGACGAGACGGCGAGGGAAGAAAGCAAACGAGAAGAGACGGACCGAGTGGCACGACACGTGCCGGAATGAATTTCTATGCGCCAATTCCCCCCCCCCCAACGCTGCACCATTGCACCAACCCCCCAGTAGTAGTGATTTCCTACCATTACAATGTATCGCTGGTTGGTGGCCATGTTTGCGTGTTTGCTTGTTCGTTAGTGGTCTCTCCACCGTGTGCCTTGTTCTGCCTCATACTTCCTGTTATTTTCGGCCTGGTCCCTCTTTGTCCTCGCCCTTTTTCATTTTATGTTCATTTATTTTCTCTTCTCCTTACGGTTTCCATTTTTATTTTTTATTTTTTTTCCTTTTTCTCCTTTTTTTTCTCTTTTTGTTCTTTCTCTCTTTTTTTCTCTCTTTTTCTGTGCCAGATGGCCTTGTCTCTGCTCGCGTTGTGAAGTACCAAGATTGAACCAAGGGGGTGTACCTCTTTCTCTCCGGCCCATGATAGATAGTGACTGCTAGTCTCAGTTGATACCTCGCATAGCGCGAAGAGGGAGTGGAGGATTCCAGAATATCTGTCGTTGATTTCTATTGACTTGCGGACCCCTCGGGGCCAGTATATTTGAGTGTACCTTTTTAGGGTAAGTTAACCTGTGACCACGGGAATCGACCGCGTCGAGTGTCGGATCAGTACGGACATACGAAGGTAGAGATCGGAACGGTTTTTAATGTGAAGACAACAACAACGACAACAACAACCCGCCCCCGCACGATATACGAACTTTGCTGTGGTGCACCTGGCACACACACCCCTACCGGCCACTAAAATCACGGGGGAGGGTCGGAGGTGCAGATAGACGAAAGAATGGTTGAAATCGGATCATTCGTTGAAAAGTTTTCGCGAAGACACTGTTTTACAGCAGTCTTATGTATTGAATGTGTAGACGTTTTGCTACATTTTTCGCCCCCATGTTGGAGTTTAATCACGAAACTCGACGTGCACGTGCGTTGATGTATGTGCGCCCATCGACGCAAAAATGGCGGTCAAATACAACGTGTGTGGCGCTCTGTGCCCACCGTTCTGTGTCAAATCGTACCCACGGGGCCCCTTTTTCCACTGTTTGCGGTCGCATTCGCCCCAGTAGTCACTGTTGGCTCCCAAGATCGGCACACATGTGTGTTGTGGCCATGTCTACCCACCTCCCAGCACCGCCGTGCATTCCCCGCCATCGTGCGTGCGTCATTACCCCACCCCCTCCCCCGTCTTTTCGCATATTTGAGCTAACCTGCTGCAGGTGTCGCACGAGACGCAAACGACCAACGCGAGAAGTTCCGGGAGCATATTACACACAGCTTACAGGGGACGTTGATTTGGGTCGTGTTTTGGGCACTTTTTTGTACCAGTTGATACACCCTCAAGATTCCTGTGTGCAGTGTATTAGAGCCAGCTTACAGGGGTGTTGATTTGGGCCGTGTTTTGGGTCATTTTTTTACCCAAGACAATATATAGGATTTGGCCTGAATTGATTCGGGTTCGATTCGGGTCATAGTTTCTTCAAGTAGTCGGGTCGAATGATGACCGGAACGGGGAGGTCGCGAATCCGTTTATACAGTTGGTATGCATGTCCGTCTGCGCCACGGTCCGCTGGCGTGCTGTAGAATGAAACGTTTACCCGTCGGATCCATCCGTGCATCCGTCCACCCCTCCACTTCTTCGGTTGTTTCTGAGGGCATGTTGTTTGAGACCTGGCATGTCTTCAGAGCACACTCGCTTGCTAAATGGCCACACACCACACACCCACACACGTACAGTACATATGTAGTTTGGGCTTGCTTGCCGTGACGTGGAGACCATGGTGGTGGTGGTGCACGGTGGAATGAAAGATCGCCCCGGATCGCGGATGAACGCGGATGAATATTTACCCGCCGTCGTCGGATCATGGATCGTGGGTCGTGCCGAACTTCGTTCATGCTGTCGACATAGACTCCAGACTACTGCCGTGGGACCGTTACAAGCACGGCCATGTCTTCAATGCACACCCTGACCAATTGGCATGAACACGTGTCCTGCGGCAAGGTGGATATAGGATATATGGTATTGTCACGCTTCCGTTTTAGGTGGTGTGGTGTGGTCGGGGGGTGGGGGGCCATACCCCCCCGGGTGTTTTTTGTTTGAGCTTGGGAAAAGAATGAGAGACAGCCACTGCTGCAAGACTGAGGCAACGTGTAGGCACAAATCGATCGAGATCGGAGCAATTTGGTGTCGGCAGCACCTGCTGCATGCTCGCTCGTGTTTCGTGCTTGAGAGTGCCGGTCATCGACACAGCCAACCGTCAACAACGCAAAAGGCATTAATTATGCGGAAGGCTTCTAAAGTAGTGCAGGACGGCCGATGGGGTGATTTCTCGCGTCTCGGGCGTTCGGCTACGAAATGTATGTGGTTCAGGCTTTCGGACTGAAAGTGATCATTCATTCACATTTGTCTTACCTTTCCTTGAGACCTCTAGAGACCTTATCGATCTCTTTGAGGAACTCCGTGCAATTCAAAAAATGAAAATCCGTTCTGTGAGACCTCTAGAGACCGTCTCGGTCTCTTAGAGAACGAGAGCGATTGCCCTGGCAATGTAGAGAGAGTGTTGACAGATCGCGCATGTTGGACGAAATTCATGGGTTGGAAAGGGACTTCATATGCTTTACGGACTGCGTCAGCGACGGGTATGAGATTTGTGGGTCCACCGTAGAGATAGAGACCTTTTATTTTTATTGAGGAGGGTTCAGTAGGAGATGGTTGTTGACTGCGCAAGAGATCGATCCAAAGGTGTGAATTACACCGTGGCGAGCGGTCATTTTGGCCAGCCGGGGGCAGCGTTGGGCTCTCGGGCTGCAGCCGTTAGCGAGGCCGAGGGAGTCACGTTTCGGTAGAGCCTGGGGAATGTGCATGTTTCGTCCCGATTGCCCTAGGCTCGCGGTTAGTTTCATAGGCCGTACCTAATCTATTGGCAACCATTCCGCTGCCCTCGGATCTCGAAAGGAAGGGAGACAAGGGAGTGACTAAGTCATTCGGGATTGTGCACCTGACATCTGTTTCGTGTGTGTGTTTTTGGTTTGTTTCCTTATTTTTGTTTAGTGACAACACTCGGTTTCTTTGACGCGAAAGGCCCCCTTTTCGATTCTTGCAACACGCTTGGTTGTTTATGTGGCGGTGGGACGCCCTGTTTCCTTGGTTTTGCCGCTTGGGCGAAGGAAAAAGGGAAATTGACCATCTTTGCACAACAGACAGGAACCAATACGTCCTACGCAGCGTTCACAATTTCACTCGGTGAGACCGAGCCTACTCGACCCTTTCTGCTAGCCCTTCGTTGATGACTCTCCCCATTTCTCTCTCCCCTTGCACCCTCCACCAATACGCCGGCCGCCTCTCCACTGCCAGTGGCCTCGTCGGTGGGCAGTATCGCTGATGCTCGATGCGCAAACACGGCTCGGGGCTCCCCGACCCTCTCCTCGCTCGGCTTTCGTCTGGGTCGACCTGTCGTTCCGCCCACTCCTACATCTTTTGGCGGCGATGAGACCGCCGTCAAGTTAGCTTCCGCTTCCCCCTGTGGAGCGTTCCTGCTGTGTCCACGCGAGTGGGATGTTCGCTTGTTACCCGACCGTTCCCGCAAGGCGTCGTTGGCGGCGGTGGCGACAGCGGCGGAACCAGCTTGCGCGGTCGTCCCGGGGAGGGGCGGAGGAAGAGCGCCACGCTCCTTGTTGTGCCTCTCGACGTCTCGATGACCCGCAGCAGTCGTTCTTCCCCTCCCACCTTCACTAGCCTCCCGGCTTTTCGTCTTTCGCTTCCCCTTTTTCGGCTCGTCGGTAGCGAAAGCATGCCTCGTCTCTCCCGCAAGCGCGGTGACCTCCTCGTTGTCATCCGCGAGTGCAGCGTTCGCGTGTGTCGCGGGGAGGCCGTGGCCAACGGCTTTGCGAGATCGTCTCCTTGTCGCGGTCATATTAGTTTTGCTGGGACTGTCATCGCCATCGCCCAAGACGCTGGGTTGATGGCCCTTTCTTTCCTGTTCCGGGCCACCGCCGTCGCGCCGCTCTTCTTCTAGAACCGTCTTTTTGCTAAAATTCACTCCTGGTACCCGGCGATCACGAGTGGTCCCCGCCTTGGCTGGCTCATCGACAACGCCACGACCGTCGGCGGTGGTACCTGCCCCTGACGCCACGGCTGCGATGGCCTCCACCGCCTTCCTCTGCATGGTGCGCAACAGGCGAGTCGGTACGGCGGCCGCGTTCTCGGCTTCCTGCGCTTCGCTCAACAAACGCAAGCGCTCAGCGTCTTCTGCTTCGCGGACGGCCCGCGCCACCTCGCGGTCCCGTCGTGCCTTGTCTGCGCGCATCCTTCGCCGCTCGCTCTCTCGCTCCGCCTCCTTGCGCCGGACGTCTTCCTGGTGGGCCTGACGCCGCTCCCTCCGCCGCTCCCTCCTCCGCTCTGCCATCGTGGGCGTCCTACTTCCTCCACCTCTACCCTCTACTGCGGATGGATCGACGCCGCTACCGCCGACCACCATCATCATCGACGTTTTCAAGCTCAACGGGGGCTCGAGGCTTCCGTCTTCGTGGTCGCCACGTGGCACGCAAAGGCCGTCTGCGTTGGCAACGGTCAAACTACCGGTGTTCTCCACTGGTTCGTTTGTGCTGTCGCTATCTCTGCCACTGTCGCTACCGCTTCGTTCGTCCCGGCGAGAGTGCTGGTGAGTCGACTCTTGGGTCCGATGCCCCTTGCGGAGACCGTGACGCTCCGCCAGAAGCTTGCTTTCCCGAAAGTTCTGCCTGCTGTAGTATCCCACAACGATGTCGGCCACCAGGTATCGGTCTTTCTCGCTTACTCGAATGATCCCGTTCAGACCCCTATGGGGGTTGGGTGTAGGTGGGAGGTGTTTCGTTATTGTGGGTGGTCCACGTAGGAGAGCACAATGAGCGAGGCAATCGATGTATTGCAATTCTGAACGCTGACATCAATAACTAGCGTTCGTTGTAATCGGACCTAGTGGAGGATCAGACCCATAAAACATCTCCGCTGACTTAGCTTAAATTTAGATCATGCCGCCAAAGCAAGGTTGGGTGGGGTGCAAGCCTGTCGTACGACACGTCGGCGGTTTACCTGGCCACGTAGGTGATGTTGATCTTCTTGCGCACACCTCGGCAGGGGTCGTCGAAAAGCTCCTGGAGGTCGGTGTTACAGTCGATCACAAGTTTTTCACCACCCTGGTTGCCGGCAAAGAGGAAGGAATGACGGACGAACGGGCACAGACCAAAATGTCGGCCGAGTTTTGAGGGCGCCACAATCATCTTGGAGATACGTATCTTGAACCTTCCATGGATCTCCTATCAACGTTTTTTTCACACTTGACGGATGAGCCAAATACATTTAGCGCGGCTAGCTCAAACTGTAGTCGTTGGCACGTGCGAGTAAGCGTGGACTCTTCAGTGAGTCCGGTCGGTTGGTCCTCAGCGTACTAAGGAAGAAGACAGCGCGCCTCACGATCCCGAAACCAACCCGTGGCTTATCTTCAACCATTCTCCCACGAGATCACCAGCCAGAGGTCGTTAATACGCCATCCTCCACAACTAACTGCCGGCACTTAACCTCGACGTACCACAACCTGCCGCAAATATCAAAGATACTATCTAGTTGGCAACGTTTCAGAGTACTGTACGTGCTTAGTGCCAGGCGGCGACAATGTTGTAGTTGGGCATGGCATCGTGTGGCTGGCTCGCCTGCCTCTCGATCATTTGCCGGAGCTTGCTCGAGATGTCGTAGGTCTTGGTGGGGTTACGAGGGTGGCCATAGCGAGAAGTGAGCACATCGATCACCGACAAGACCTTCGGACTATCGACGAGAACGTCCTCTTCAAGGATCCCTCTTCCCATGCGATCATCTTTCGCCTGCGAGTAAAAGGGCGGGAAATATCGAGGCCTACTGAGCAGGACGGTGTTCGACAAGCTGTTCCCGATTAAAACCCCTTGGGGGGTTGGGCAAGTGTTTCTGTATCAACACAATACTGTCAAATGGTGTATCTGTCCTTGTCAGCATTCATCGTTCCGGCAATGTTCTTCCGCCTAAGAAGCGGCGATCAATCCGCAGCTCGACAAATGGATCTATCTAGCTCGGGCGCACACATGCTAAACAGCAGCAGGGTAGAAAATCTCGGCGCAGCGAAGCCCCACCGACGACAGCCTTGGCCGAGGCGCTCTCAACCCTAACCCCATAAACAAACGCCTTCTGGTGCACGCGGCACACACGCGAACCTCAAAGAACGTTGACATCGCTTCCGCACCTGCACGACCACCTGACCCTGGCGCTGCAAGATGAAGTTTCGCGGGTAGCCGCTGGATGTGGTCTCCTCAAGGGATGTCAGCCGCTCACTGTCGTGCCCCTGGCAGGAAAGAAGAATTGAAAAAGACATGCACAGAAGATGCTCTGACACTTTGACGTCGATCTGAAAAACGAAACCCGTACCCGCATGTCGTACTTTTCGATACCCATTAAACGAAACATGGGCGTTCAACGCAAGTGTGGTGGTCACCCTAGCGTGGTGTTCTCGTCGTGTGTCGTTAGGCACGAGGCTAGATATCTGATTGAGCTCATCTTAAATAGTTAACGCATCACCTTCTGAGACTCGGATTAGACCGGTCGAGAGTGCTACGGAGAGATGAGCCTCATTTTTGTGTTTTTTATTTTGCCGGATGACGCGTCTCCTTTTGGTCGTATCTCGATGGTTTTCGCAAGCAGGTGGAGGTGTTCATGTTGGAGGGATCAGGCGTATGTTTTCTGAGATCCTGGCACAAACAAGTAGATGAAATAGCTGTATGTACGCTTTCCAATCGTAAGACGTGCATAAAAAAAACTAAACTCTAGCGCATTGCACGCCAGAGTACGCACGCGCGCTCTCGCTCACCACGACGAGATACCGCACCCGCAGTTCCTTTCTTTTCCCGGGCATTGGGTTCCCGAAGAGCTGATTGACATCTGTTTGAGCCGCCACGAACTCCAGCAGCCCCCCACCGTGCTCCTCCACCCTCGCCTGCAGACGCGCCCTGATATCCACGTACCTGGGAGTCAGCTTCTTCAGGTACCTGAAGGGCAATGGAAAGCAGCGGCGAAAGGAACGAACAACGCACCGTGTCAGGCATTCGCAATAGGTGATGGGGCGAAACTTGTGGGAATCCAGGGAGTCATAGACACGTAAACGCCAAAGCCTTTCCCGCCTTCTCTTTCGTGAAATGAGATTGCGATCAACACCCAGGACTTGTGGCATTTTAGCTCTAATCCATGCTCGAGACAGACGCCGTCCGTGGCCTACGTACAGTATTTCCCTCTCCGGATACTCTTTCTCCATCGATACAACTCACTTGAGATCACCGATGAGAGGTCTGAGCCCCATGAGCCTCTTGTTGTCCTCACGGCTGAGGGGCATCCCGATGTCTTTGCGGTTCTGGATGGCGAACAGGTCGGAAAGTTCTCTCTGCACCAGCTGCAGACGCTCATCGATGCCCTCTCGTGTCTGCCCGTAGGTTGCGGATTCCACGAGGATCAGCGGCGCCAACATAGGCCTGCGAAAGCGATAGAGGAGTGTACCAGCAAATACAAGCAAAATGCTTTCGTTCAAAAGGTGTGTCGAGCATTGTGCGGGCAGGGGGTTGGGTGTGGGTGTGATTGACCAAATTGCCGAGCTTTTTTCGTGACTCTGCTTAACTGCTGTACCGGTGTGGGGGGCAGCCATAAATCTTTGTCGGGAGTGGTTTTCATGAACAGCTATCGCTGTCTCCCTTGCGTTGCCTAGAAACCAACCAAGCTACCCCGAGCACGTTGACAAGCAGGCCATTACTTTCTTTGCCCGCGGGGCTTTTTCTTGTTTGCTCATCGGTGATGCGTATTGATGCTCCATATTTCTCACGTGCAGCTGATGCTGATTGGTGTCAACAGCCGTCCGTCCGACTCGATCGCCTCCGCCCTTCCTTCCGTACCGACGATCTCGTACCGGATTACCAAGCATTTATCCCGGCCAGGGCAAGGGTCGCCGAAGAGATCCGTGAGCGGTTCCTTTCGAGACATGAAGAGGTACTTTCCGTCCGCGAGGTCGACCCTCCCCTGCATGAACTCTGTCACGTCCATCTGCGTGTGAGAGATACACGGACAAAGTATTATTGATGAGCGTTATGAGTCCTGTTTGAGTCTTGCATGCAACAACAGCAAGACGTCCAGATGTCATGGACGCTGACGCTGCACAGCTTCTGTACCACACACAAGACAACGTCAACCAATGACTTGAAGCCCGTTCTGGGCATGAGCAAGATGCGACAGCAATCTCCACGTCCAGGTTCACAATCAACGTTTGCTCGTTTTTCTCTACGTCCAGGTTCACAATCAACGTTTGCTCGTTTATTCTGGTGGGTGTCTCACCTTGCCACGCCCCCGCGAAGGTTCGCCGGGAGAACCATACACCGCAGAGAACACCACCACGAGGGGCAGCTTCGTCGGCACTTGAAGAGATACCGCCTCCGCAAGGTGGCCCTCCTATTGTTGAATGGGTTGCATCCATAGTGGTGGTGCTTATGAGGTGGGGATATTTGGTGTCTGAACACGGGGTGTCCGGAGAAATGGCCACGTATGAACTCGTGTTATGAGCCACAGGCCACTGTAGCGAAGCGACACGTCCGCGGATGCGACACATCAGTACCACAGGGGCATGTTGATAGGTTGGGCTAACTATTAGTCGAAGCTTGAGGCATCGTACCTCTGACTCTTGGAGCCACACTTCTCGTCGCCGCCCTTTCGCGACGCCTTCCAGAGAGACGTACCGAACGCGCAGAACCTTCAGAACGCCCGGGCAGGGATTTCCTAGCCAGTCTGTTAGGCTCTCCTCTCGTCTTATGTCCAAGCGATCCGATACCCCCTATCGCTTGTGCCGAATATGCAATGCGTCATGCGGTAAGGTTTGTAGTGCACAATTCGATGTGTCAAAGCTTCATGTGGTCAGAGTCCTTGAGACTCGTCTGTCTATATCATAGAAGAAACAAGGTTTTTTGGCAGGGTGATCTTACAACATTGTTGGAATTGGCAAGAAAACCCGGGGTATCGACTATTGTCTTGCGTGGATGATGCACCGACCCGCAACGCTTGTTCGCAGGAACTCCAAGCAGCGTGCCTACTCTGCAGTGTATACCCATGTCAAGATTGATTGCGTGTACAGGTGCGATTTGTGGTTAGAAACTCACCACGCGTGTTTGCAGCTGTCGGCGGACGTCGATGGCCAACTTTGGGTCTCGCGGGTGGCCGTACGACGCTGCAACAACTCGGAAAGGCCCTAGACCGAGAGGGGTGTCCCAGTACAACGTGGCTGGGTCCTGGAGCACGGTGCAGCAGCGCATGCACCACCGATACGTATCCACCACTGCTTCGTTCCCCTGAGTATTGCAAGCGAGATTGGCGAGAAGCAAGAGTTATACCTGGCCGACAGTCCCGTCACATCAAGACACCCAAGGGCGAAGTACGGCGCGATGCATACGTACATGTGTGTGAGTGGATTATTTCCCTCAGGAGAAGACTACTGTACCTGCGCCCTCGCACGCCTACCTGCCAGTACCCGCAATTGGGGCACCGTATCCTTGGGCCGGGGTACATCTTAGGTAGCACATAATTGTCCCCTTCTTCTTCCTCGCTGCTTCCCTCCCCCTCCCATATCGCTTGCCACTCTTCTGCTGTCAGTGTACGGCCATCGTCTCGCATCGTTTCCAGCTTGTTTTGGTCACTGTCTTCACTCGTGGTCCGCGGTGCTACGGTAGTCCGAGAAGAGCTACACCCTTTAACTCAAGACAGACGGCCTCCAGCAGGAATATCGAGGGAGAGAGACCACACTAACACTAGGGGCTAAGGGTTAGAGAGAGACAGAGAGAGGAGGAGGAGGAGGAGGAGGAGATTAAACTCAACGGCGGCACAGCGGCGCGATCTACGCAGACATGCGACGGTTTCAAAGTTCTCAGCAGTTCCCATTTTTGTCGAACAGGCACATATTGCGCCGCATCGTTTGTGAGAGAGATCCATTGTTGACCTGGCGTGCATCTTTTCCCCCAGCGAGTATGAACACGCTATCAAGTACATGAAGCAGCAGGCCTGGTTGGAGAGATTGCGTATTGTGATTCATGGATGATGAACTCGAATCGCCAGCGGCTGCTCTAGCAGCGAGCTCGTCGACTCAGAGAAAATGGGCGTCTGTAGTGTTGCTGGGTCCTTTGATGCCGAGCTTGATGGCGACAGTGATCATCGTGGTTGGTGGGGCCATCGTGAAGGCGAGTGGCGGCATGGTTGACATAAGACAGGTTGACATGGCAGAGAGTGAAGCTGCCGTCCACGTGTTTCGAGCAGAGCTGGTTCACGACTTGAGACGAAGAGACTGTGCTGTAGGCTAATGGCGGGGTCTGCACTCCGTACTGCGATAGACTACCCTACGTCGCAAGACTTGATGGGCAGTCTATCACTAGTCTATTGTGTAGAATAGTGCTCATAGAAGATATAGGCATGGAGTCACCGAAACGAAAGGTCCCACCAGGTGAGATGCGAACCTGCAACACGTTAGATTCATGCAACTTTTCGTGCAGAGCTGTGAATGCACCACTCCTCTCAAGCCGCGGCCACGTGACGATTTTGAGGGTCTACTTCTCAATCAGACAAGCACGTTTACATCCCCACTCTATCATGAAGGCACTGGATTAGCTGGGCATGTCCTGCGTCTGTACATGTATGTGAAGGGGTATGCTACTGATCTTGGGGTGTTGTAGCTCCATGAAATTATCTGTCTACTGAAGGTAAACGACTCAGCCAATCCCGGTGCTTCGAGCATTTATTTACGGAGACGAAGCTGCGTCTTACGGACGGTGCACACCACGTGCTGTACGACAACCATTGGCGTCAAGGCAGCGCAATAAATGATATTGTATGATGACCCAGTGAACATTGCACAAACAGGCGTGCTCAGAGTATCCAAATATACTCATGTTGTGCGGAGCCCTTCGAAAGAAAAACCTCACTCGCCCGCACAACCTCCCGGAACGGTATGCCTTTCGGGAAAAACCGCATATCTACATCGACTGGGAGTTGTCAGGCATCGTCAGAGTGTCCTGTCCCAAAACCGTTGTTCTGTTATGGACACCCCCGTTAAAATGCCGTCCTTCGCAGCTCCTACCAACCCTACGGCATTCACTTTTCGGCAGCTCAGATCCTCATACCAAACGTAGGAATTTCAGACCTACATATCTGTATACAGCTATCAACGCAAGATCTGCTACGGGGCAAGCACTCGGCATGGCTCACACCCAACAAGTTTGTTTGTTGTTTGCACCATCTACAGGCGGACGTTGTCGGCGAGCTTGAGGACGATCGGTGCGGGTACAGAATCGACAATTTCCTCAAGGCGGCGATCGTGAACAGCTACTTGCTGCTCATGGTGTTCGCGTGGTCGTTCCTTGGGTTCGAGACCCACTTCTCCATTCGAGGCCGAAAAAGGCGCTTCTTGCGGCCCTTTTCGAGCCTCTCGTTCGTGGCATTGCTGTACCTGCTGTTGTTCAGCATGAGCATGGCCATGTGAGCGCACGTGCCGACAACTTTCCTTCAAATCATTCGTTTCGGGAGGGTTGTGTTGTATTGACTCATTGGTGATCGTGACGAGGCCGAGCTTGTGTTGGGTCCTAGTCACCGGGGTGAAGACAACGGAGATGTCACACGCTTTGTCTTCCACTTGACTCTCAGCCGAAATTACCAACATCAAATAGTACACAAAGGTGGTGATCCCATCAAAACGTAGCGAAGGCGTGGTCTACACAGCGCTGTTTGCGCTAAGCGAGTTGCTCTAATCCCAACAAAAAATATTTGTTCGCCTTCCACAAACCTTTGCATCTCTGCCTAGTGGTAGTTCTTGGACGTTGACACCAAAAGAGCGGAAAAGTAATGCAAAACTTGGATTTGCTAGAAGGAAAATCGACACCCGACCAGGCGAACCCGCCAGCATGAGAAAAGTCCTAGCTCTTGGAGTCAATCGCACGTTTTCCACCACCACCTAACAGTACCTATCCATCGCTTTGCTGCTTACCACGACCACCGCATCAGATGGATATTCGGCACTTGGGCCATCGTCAAGGACCGCGTAGGCAACAGTTGCGCGAACGAAGTTCCCCTGCTTTACTCCTTCTGCGTGGCCTTGGTCGCCGTGTACTGGGTCGGTGTGGTGTTCGGAGCCGTCGGTCTGATAAAGGTCCTGTTCGGCAAGAAGATCCAGAGCGGGGCCCAAGCGACCGTCGAGAAGGTGCCCATCGTAAAAAAGACACGGTCGAACCTCTACCGCCCCGTCCTTGCTTTGTGGTCCCGACACACGACGAGAAGCTTCCCAGCCCTTGGGTGGCCTTCGCTCCCCCTGTGTGACCCTGCCTGTTGGCAAATGCCGATGAAACAAAGACAAAGACTGATATATGGCCTTCCTCTTCCCTGTGTGTCCCTGTTTATTGAGAAACGATCCCGCCTGATGCGTCCAGAAAGAAAAAGAAGAACATATGTGCATCGGATGGTGAAGCGGACGCCCCCAAATGAACGTTTTCGTTGCTTCGATTGTCGCACTGTCGTCTGTCTGATCTAGGCCTGTCAAGACACGTTATTCGTGCGTACCCAACGCTGACGAATTACTGATAGTCGGATAGAGGGCTCAGGGCGACGTGCAAGAAACCATCGAAGAGATTTGCTACCAGTATGGCTGCGTATGCGAGGATAGATTGGGTACAAGAACGATGCGAATCACACCAAAGTGAATTTACCAGATATATTGTGCGCTGACGAGCCGAACTCATAGCGCACCCATTATTCGCCACTCAGAGGTGTGAATACATACTATACCCTTGTACCCTTCTATGGCGATATCTCGCTTGTTCGCTAGTCAAAAACCTATTTGGTGGTACGGTGGTGCGTCAGTTCTGTCTGTTATGCTCACACGAGATGTCTCAATGTTGTCATGGTCGTCCAGGGGAAGCAATTCGCGCAGAACAGAGACAAGGAACAGGTTCTCGAGGCGGAGCAGCAATTGGTCGCACGAAAGTTCGACGCTCGCGACGAGGAAGGAAATGGCACCATCGATCGTCAACAGGTTAGTCGAAAAAAATACGGGAGGCAATCATACGCTAGGCCGTTACAATGACAATCCCCGCCAAAACTATCCTCTCCGAGCACTGGCAAGGAAAAACGAATACGTTGAACGTCGGTGGCATCCAGAGAAGATTGCTCTCAGCAAGATATCTCGCTCCTCCTATAAAATCGTATCCCCTGCAGAAAGATTCACGTTGGTGAAACCCTACGACCAGCGCCCCTCTCTCAGTCTTGGGGAGCTCCGTCTCCAGCCTTCATAGCTGACAGAAGAGAAGACGGAGAGGATATTTATCGCCCCCGACAAATGCTAAATATTGTGCGTACGCAAACCACCTTCTTGGCCGCGCCAAATCCCTAAACAACAAGGCGGAGGAGCTAATAGAGGAGCTGGGCATTGGGCTGAGCAGCAAGAAGCTGAAGAAGGCCATGGGCCAGCTAGACCCAGCAGGGGAAGGGGTGGTTTCGAAACAAGACTTCATCGAGTGGTATGCCGAGAACGGCCAAGGAGGGTGACAGCCCCGAAGAGCCGACTCTGCACCACCCAGACGAGATCTTCGCCGGTTGTGCCATCGCAAGGGGTTGGCTGTTGATGACTGTGGTGGCACAGTGCTGCGTAGTAGGTGGTGATGGCGAAGCTAGTCCTCACACATTGAGTGACGATAAGGCTCAGATGCTGCGGAGACCCAGGAATGCGCACTGCTTCATGCTTGCCCGACTGCGCACTGCCGGCGGGAGGTCCTCAAGTTAGTGCATGGCCATGCCCTAGCCGTGTCACCGACCGCAGGAGGAACACGCCTCCCGATCGAAACGGCGCGCTTGTGTTGAGCAAGGCGTTCATTTTGGTACTGTTGTTGCCTTGCCGACCCGCTTAAGCTCATGAAGATGGTACACAGAGGAGCAGGGAGTGTTATAGCACCGATGTGTCACAGAAAACACCTCCCACGGGTTTTCTTCAAACGTGTTGATGTCGGGTGGGAAAGCCGTGCGACAAAGCGCCCCCCCTCATTTTGGGCTTTGCCCCCGCGCGCTGTTGGATCTGGACTATCCCGTTCCTTGCGCTCACTCGTCGCCAGCTGTGTGTGTACGGCTGTCAAGGATTCAACATTCCTCCTACGGCAATCGCCACCACCACACAATGACGCTAGCGAGCTGCCTTCCCTCTGCCAACCTGAACGTTGGTCGTTGAAATTCCCAACTCCGGCGCAAGAATGGAAACCGTCGAACGACGTTCACTCGGGGAACTACGAGAGTGGACGGTCTAGTCGGCGAGCCAGGGAAAAAAACGACTTCAAGTGCGGCGATACGATTCCCTGTACTCCGTGAAAACAATGGCATGCCAGCCACCGCGGGGGTTTCGAGAGATGAAGCATGGGCCGGGTAATCGCAGCTGTGTCATATCTCGGGGATGCTTTGTATCCTCGGGGTGCGGCGGCAACACGCCACTCGATTGCAACTAGCGGCGTACCTCCCAAGAGAGACAGAGAGAGAGCTAGAGAGAGCTGATAGAGAGAGAGAGAGAGAGAGAGAGAGAAAGAGAAAGAGAGAGAGAGAGAGAGAGAGAGAGAGAGAGAGAGAGAGAGAAAGAAAGAGACCGAGAACAGCGGCGGTGCGGCCGTTCAGCAACGGTGTCCCCTTCCAGACAAAATTTGGGGGACCAGCAGCGGTAGCAACCGAATGGTGCACATATCCAATGACCATGCCCTCCATAACCTTGGACCTCTTAGCATAAGGAACTCGCTTGGGACTCCTCTCTTGCCCTTGCCTTGCCCTTGCCTATTATTTTCTAAGACATGTACTGACCTCGGATGCCTATGAAGCGCATTCTACACACCAATCAATCAAAAAAGCCAACAACGAGATAACAAACCAAAACTGTTAAAAATGACAACGTCAGCAGCGGCCGGATGTACACTAATAGTATTGCCAAAACCGACAAACCAAAAAATCACAACATCGAACATAGACAATCCGAACGAGCGCAACCAGCGAACTATTTTTACAACCACCGTCTTCCACCGTTGAGCAAACAACACCCAACGCACAAGCAAGCGCGGAGGACTCAATCAAGCGGGCTACGTCCAACTTGCAGAAGTCTCGTTTTGGCCCCGTAAGAAGAGAAGACTGGTCGACCGCCTTTTCCCATGGGTCACCCTAACCCGTACGTGCGATCGATGCTAGCAAATCCCAAAATCACACACAAAACTCTGGTGGAAATTTTTCACCGTTCCGGTACACCGGAAAACGCATCGCGGTCGGTGCCAAGCTCGAAAGTATCAACACACGCGCCTTCCTTGCTCACCCACTCAAAAGTGGCTTGTTAAATACCTGGTACCTCAAGAAACACGCGCAGCCCCCCCTTCCAGTCTCCGCACGCCCCCCCCGTCTCATCAGCGGAGCCCCTCGGACCACCAAATACCTGTAGCGTGTGCACGGTGCTATGTAGCGTATTCTTGTCTAACCGAGACAGTTCTATTCTTGACAGTTCTAGATAATCAGCCGGTCTGTGCACTCGATGCTGCAGCACGCAAAGAACCCACACACACACGTACACACACACCCGCGCGCATAGGTTTGCAAGATACCACGATAGGAACAACGAAGATCAGACGGGAACTATTCCGTCGCGCACTGTATCGCGCATTCGGCGCCACCGGTCTGCCAGCCGGTCTCCCATGACGCCGCTCCCGGATTGGTTCTTGATGTCGAATCTGATTGGATAACGCCATCGAAAGAGACGAATTGACAAGGGATAGGGTAAGGGATTGCCGGGAGAGCATGCAAGAAAGAAAAAAAAGGGTGTACAGAAGAGTGGGGCAGGGACTATTTATCTCGACCCTGATTGGACGAGGGTATCGTCCAATGAGAAAGGGCGGAATGGGGGGCTTGTCCACCATGCCTCCGCGCCCGTTGGCGTAGCCCCCGGTTTCTTTAGATAGTCTTAGGACCCCACAAAAAGAGGTGTTCAGGGAGGAAAAAAAACTACCAACAGGGGGGGGGGGGGAGGGGGTACTCATAGTTGTGCATGCCGTAGTCGTTAGACCATTGACCTCGCATACCAACAAGGGGATGGCTAAAAAATAGGTAGCTTTCTTTCTAGAGGACGGTATCATCATAAGTACCATCTCAACCCCGACGCAGGCAGATAGAAAGACTTTGCGGCTCCTGTACAGTCGGCTTTCACGCTCATTCGAAATCACAACATTGAGCAGTCGTTGCCTTCAGGATAGACGAGGAACGACGCTGATTGGCCAACATTTTCTTACTAAAAAATCCATCGACTCCCCCGCCCCCCCGCCCCCCCGACGTCCGAAATAAGCTCCTCCCCGCTCAGGACGATCCCGTAAAATATTTCGGGCGGCGTACACGTGTGCGATCGATGGATTCTCTAACTTGTATTGTGGCTCGATTTCTTCACGCCCAAGAGGTTACCAATGCCGGCAGGGGTGGTTTGGGAAAATATATGTACCGTCACCGAGAGCTGTATTTCCTTTCGCACGCGTCCCGTCGGGCTTCACACCCACTCGGTTTGTGGAGCTTCCAATCAGTCTCGAAGAAAACCGATCAGACACCCAAGTTTTTATGGGCCCATTATTATTTGGCTCTTTGATTCCTAGAAAGGTGTGCTGTATTGTAATCCCCCTGTGGTTAGTCTATGGCCACGGAGGGCGTTCGCATCAGTTGGACCAGTACACATACGGACATTAAAAGGTACTGAGCGGAGGCCGGAACGGCCACTGATGTGAAGATAACAACAACAAAAAAAAAAACACCGCGTTCGCCCTCCTGCACTCGTTACGGCCTATGTATCGAGCAAGCATGCATATACATTTACATTTCCGCTAAAAAAAACGGCGTCTGCATGTACATGTCTAGATTGTAGATTGTGTACCTCGTGGAGACGTCCGACTCGGTGAATCTCCCGCACGTGTTGGCCAGGCGTTCCACGAACTCTCTCCTCTGTCTCATTTCCTCCACGCCCCTGCGGCCCTGCATCCCGACCACCATCATCACCACGTCCGTCCCCTGCTCCCGGTGGAGGCGTTCCGTCGTGGTATTTCCGGGGGCGACGTCAAAGGTTTTTTTCCGAGGATGATGTCGCGGGTTTCCGAGGGCGATATCGCGGGTTCCCGAGGGCGATATCGCGGGTTCCCGAGGGGAATGTCGCGGGAGAAACGGGGGCGGAATCGGGACAACAGGCGCGAATCGAAGCGCGGTGTCGTGAGAACAGAAAAAGATAGCATCAGTCGCGGAAACCGAAAAGACCCGCAAAAACAGAAGAAACATACACATATGCACAACGCGGACGAAACCCCGTTGTGCATATGTGTATAGAAAGCTTCCTGCAACACCAAGGCCCCGTGCAATGAAAGCAAGGGTCGTGCTGAGAGTTGTAACCGCGTGGAGAAGAGAAACACGCACCTTGCTCTTGAACTCCCTCACGAGGCGTTTTATCGCCGCCTGCACCAAGCTGCCCTGAAGGCGGTCCATCCCATCATCGTCCGCCTGAGGACAACGGCCCAATACAAAAAAACACCGAAGAAATGAGGGGGAAAAAAACCCATCGAAATCGTAATCATAGTAGAAAGAGAAAGAAAAGGTTCCGGGGAAGCTAAGATAATTAGTACATGCAATGTTAAGCAGCAACAACAACAGCAATACACCAACCAAGCGAGTCGCTCTTCACCTTCAACACAGGAAAAGGAACAACAGTTAACAGCGTAACACCAGTTGACTCATGAAGAGCCAAAAAAGTCTGGAGAGGATACCGCCAGATGTTCTCTACCACGCGGAGAGCGCAGTTTTTTTTTTTTTCAGCAAAACAGAAACAAAACAGACTTTTGTCGTGCAGGACAAAACTAGTGATGACCTCAGAGTGCAAATGGCCTACCTGTGCCAAAACTACAATTTGTCGAGAAACAGACGGCGTTGTCTCCCCTTTATGGGTAACAGGATCAACAAGATGGTGCTCCGTGTTTGCTCAGGACAATGTACGGTGCCCACAACTACATACCGTTTTCTGTTTCTAAACGGGAACGGGTCGGCAAATTTGATTGTTCCGACTTTCGAAACGTGCACCTCCTTCCCCTTCCCTCCTCTCCTTGCCACAAACGCGCCCTCTGCTTCTGTAAGGATTGCGCTCATACGGCTAACTCCGCATGACGGCGTTAGCCAAGGAAGAGTCGGTAACGCCATCTAGGGTTGCTCGCCGAAAATCTTCTGGACTCACGCCCAGAATGATTGCAAAGCTGCCAGTCAGTGCTTACCAAAAACATAGAACTGTTTCTATGGGCACTTCACCAGCGACGGCAGTAAGTGAGACCAGGCAACAATAGAAACAAAAACAACCAAACGAAATCACACAAAAAAAAAAGCCACCTCAAAGGCGGTGGCGGCATCTCTCGCTGCCTGCGCCACGTCGTCCATCGCGCCGACCTCGATGATGATAAATGGGACAAAACTGAAAAAAAACACACACAAACACACACACACACACACACACACAAAAAGTCACCTCAAAGGCGGTGGCGACATCTCTCGCTGCCTGCGCCACGTCGTCCATCGCGCCGACCTCGATGATGATAAATGAGATAAAACTGAAAAAAAAAAAAAACACAAGAAAAAGAAAACTCACCTCCAAAACGGTTGCAGCATCTCTCGCCGCCTGCGCCACGTCGTCCATCGCGCCGGCCTCTCTTATCCCCGCCTGAGCGAGGTACTCCTTCATCGTTGTGCTCGACCCTGGCATGGCCTCGTTCGTGAAGAACTGGATCAAGAGCTGTGGTCCGTATGTTGGAAGCAGCCGTTTCAATGTTCGGAATGGGGGTGGGTGGGTTGAAGAGAGGGGTCTAAGAACGGGGACGAACATTCGTCCCCCGTTGATGCTTGATCGATCCCGGCAAGGCTGTCTCAAACGGGTAGAATTACTTTCATGTTACGCCTATTACCAGGTACAGTAATTCGTACATCTTACACCGTACTCTTCGGGCAGCACTGTAAAACCGATCGAAATAAATAGAATTAACAGGGCGAGAGCAAAATCAGCTACAGCGACAGGGTATCATTGAATACGAAGGGGGGAAAAGGCTTCATATTGAGGGAGAGAGAAAGCGTGGG